TTCAAATATATAGGTCCATTTTTCCACGTTCGTACAAAATTATAATGGAATTGCCTTTCTCCATTTTGACCAATAATTTTGTTGACAAAAAAGAACAAGACTCAATATCAACATAGCTCATTGATGAATTTAGTAGCTACTTGTAAAAACCAAAATTACCATTGGTTATCATCAATCCGTGATCCCATATTCTCATGTGCATGCGCATGCATAAAAGCTTTTTATTTCTTTGGATATCCATTGCCTCTTCAAGGGCATTACACTATCTCTTTCAGGATAGTCGTAATTTAGAGAATGCGAATCATAACCTCTTTTAGAGCATTATAGAGCTTGGATTTTAATCTCCACTTCCGGGAGTTGAGTCATTGGAACCTATATGTCTATCATGCTCCATGCATGAGACATCAACATTCCCATGTCTGCGAATTGTCCTTTCTGGGACGTATATCCATGCGGCGACTGTCATGCTTCTGGCATGCAACAGTTATGCTTCGGGAATGCAATAGTTTAGTAGTGCCATATTCTTCATCTTTCGAATGAATGAACCTTTTGAATCTAAGGGTCTGCCACGCTTTAGGCGTGCAACAGATAAATCATTTACTGCCATATTATTTTGTCTAACATGGACATCAATTCTTGTAGGCACATTTGCAACAAGTGTATATGATTTCATCACTTTTGTTGCATCATTCAATTATTCTTCATTTTCTCATTGATTGCTTCGTGAATCATAAGACAAATTCTCTTTGCTCTTTTGGAACGGTCTTTTCTTGTCATTCTTCTGGAATGATATTTTCTCATTGTTCTTCTGGAACAATGTTATTTTCTCCCCCTAATGGCAGGAAAACTGTCTTATCAAAATCATAGTCCGCAAATCATACGGTAAATATATCCCTAGTCAAGGGTTCCAAATGTTGAATGATAGATGGTGGATTGAATTCAACATAAATTACCAGTTTGTATTGATGCCTTATTTTAGTACGTTGTGGCAGTCTTACAGGCACATAGATAACACAACCAAAAACTCGTAAATGTTAATGTTTGGTTGGTGCCCAAACACGAGTTGTACTGAGAAATATTGATGGTTGGCAACTGGCCTCAACCAAACTTAATAATGAATTATGTAAAATGACTTGTCCCTATGTCAAAACTGGCAATTTCGTTTTCATGGGCAGAGCGCGGGTAATCAATTTCATCCGCTTAATAAATGCTTCTGGTAAACCATTTTGAGTATGGACATAAGGAACTTCTGGTCCTTATTAAATAGTCTGTAGACTGAGACTCTTATGACTTTTATTACAATTAAGTTGAAGCACTGCGACATTTCAAACTTACGGTACTCATCAAGGAATTTCATGTCCTGATCTTCGGGATCAAGGGACTTCATGCCTGATCTTTTTGTATGATGGAACTTCGGGTTCAATCATTTTATATGATGAGGATCAAGAAACTACAGGTTCTGATCTGATCAAGGAACTTCAGGTCCAGTATGTACTTATCGTAACAAAAATAAGTATATTAAATAAATTAAAGCAATAGGCAGTAATTCCAGCCATAGTAAATAAATTACATTTAAGTAAATAAAGCTTGTGACAAGGGCTTTAATTCAGCAACATTCACATAAATCAAAACTTAAAGCAGTAGGCGGTAAAACCGTCCATGATAAATAAATTGCTTTAAAGTAAATAAAACTTGTGACAAGGGCTTTGATTCACCACCATTCTCATAAATATCAAAACTTTAAAGCAAAGGGTAATAATTCTACCCACTGTAAATAAATTGCTTTAAATAAATAGAACTTGTGACATGGGTTTTAAACCAACACCATGCACATAAATATGCCAAAACAGAAAATGCAATGATTAAGTCCTCATCTTTTGTTTTTGCTTTTTTTTTTCTTGGTCTGCCACTTCTTTTGTTTGATTCCTTTTATTTTTATTTTTATTTCACAGTTTTGAAGTCATTTTGGTTACTCAGTAAATAATAGTAATAATAAGTTCCAATTGGTGTTCCTCCTCCGTGAGTTTCGAAAAAGTCGAAACGGTTCCCATAAGTTTTGGAGTCAAGAGTGTTTGCAACTTATGATAAGATCAAGCCGTTAGATTGAGCTCAAATTTTAGTATGAAATGGATAAGAGGATACCGAACAACTTTCATGAAGAAACAATTTCGATTTGAGCTACAGAAATGGAGTTGTGGTACTCATAAGGTGGCTGTCCAGTTTTCTGCGGAAATTGGAAACTGGTTTGGTATTTCAGACATCTGCGACGATCGCACCGTTTAAGTTTTCTGAAATTTAGATATGTTGTAGATACTGAGTGGACGAACAACTTTCAAGAAGAACGTATTTCAATCCGAGGTCCGCAAGTTGGAGTTCTGAGGCTGTTTACATGGTTGTCAAATTCTCTACGAATTTTGAGTCTGTACTCTTTTGCTTCTGCAAAGAATGATATACAGTCATGCAACATGTATATATATATATATATATATATTTGCTTTAGGAAAATCAGTAGTACAAAGATTTTAAGATGAATTGAAAAAATTTTCTTATCTGTGATATTCTAGCTGAAGGAGATGAACAGGATTTGTGGCTCTATGCTTTTCACTGACATGAGAGTTTCTCGTGCTGATAACGTGTTGTAAAATCGACAGTGTGTGCAGTGGAATAAATAAACAAAACACAAAATTTACGAGGTTCCTCTACAGTCAGTGTGACTGGAGTACGTTCTCGGAGCAGCAGTGGTGCTTTCATTATAATTTGGAATAATAGGTGTGCAAAGATAACTCTTTATTATCTCCTCTCCTCTTCCTCTCTTTTTCTCTCTTCCTTTCTTCCTTCCTATCTCTCCCGTGAGTCTCTCACCTTCATCTACTATCTCTTTGTTGTGTTCTATAAGATTTGCTTGTATAGAAGCAAATCACAAGCAGCATAGTGAAAGGCAAATAAGTGGGTTAGTGGTCAGCCATCCATTCACCTTTACAACAAAAACCGAAAACTTCCTGTCAAATACAAAAAGACAAAAAAAGGGGAAGAAAAGAAGGTAGGGATGGAGAGACGTGACCAAGAGCACATTGTGATGCTGCCATTCCTGGCTCAGGGCCATCTCATACCATTCCTGCAACTTGCAAGAAATCTCCAACAGAGAAAAAGCTTCATCACAATCACCGTCGCAAGCACCGCCCTCAACATCCAATACCTCCGCACAACGATCGCCTCCAACTCAAGCTCTCAATCTGACTCCAACATCCGTTTGGCTGAGCTCTCATTCTGCAGCACAGACCACGGCTTGCCCCCGAACGGCGAGAACACGGAGAACTTGCCTCTCAGCAAAATAGGAAACCTAGGTGCTGCATCAACTAGTCTTGAAGCTCCTGCTCACCTCCTTATCTCGGATATCATCGAAAAAGAAGGCCGCCCGCCGCTTTGTATTATCTCTGATATGTACTTTGGATGGGCTGCTAATCTTGCAAACAGCTTTGGAACTGCGCACGTGACTTTCACCACAGGTGGTGCCTATGGCACTGCAGCTTTGGTGTCTACTTGGCTTAATCTCCCACACCGTTCTACAGCTTCGGATGAGTTTCCGGTGCCGGGGTTTCCTGAGAGTTACCGCTTCCATATCTCTCAGCTGAATCCATATTTAAGAGCTGCAGATGGTACCGACTTCGGATCAAGAATTTTTCAACCTCAGCTTTCGCTTTCTACGAAATCCTTTGGTTGGTTGTGTAGTACTGTTGAGGAGATTGAGCCAGTTGGATTGAAGATCTTGAGGAACTACCTGGGGCGTCCTGTATGGTCCATCGGACCTCTTCTTCCTTTAGAAGCACTCAACAAATCATCTACGTTGCGCTTAAGTGTTTCGAGGCAACGCGCCGGAAAAGAGTTCGGCATACCTCCTGAAGCATGCCTCGAATGGCTTGACTCACAAGGGTCGGATTCGGTTGTTTACGTCTCATTTGGTTCTCAAAACAGTATTAGTTCAAACCAGTTGATGGAATTAGCTCTTGGGTTGGAAGAAAGTGGAAGGCCTTTTATTTGGGTAATAAGGCCTCCGGTTGGATATGACATGAAGGGTGAGTTCCGAGCAGAGTGGTTGCCCGAGGGGTTCGAAGATCGAATGAGTAGAGGAAAACAAGGGTTGGTGGTGCACAATTGGGCACCCCAGTTGGAGATACTGTCACACAAGTCGACGGGTGTGTTTGTTAGCCACTGCGGATGGAATTCAGTGATGGAGAGCTTAAGCCAGGGGGTGCCAATGATAGGGTGGCCGTTGGCGTCCGAGCAGGCATTTAACTCGAAGATGTTGGCGGAGGAGATGGGCGTGAGCGTCGAACTTACAAGGGGAGCACAGAGTGTTGTTGTTGGAAAGGAGGTGAAGAGACTGATAGATTTGGTAATGGAGAAAAGTGGCAAAGGAGGAGAACTGAGGAAAAAAGTTGGTGATATTGGGGAGCAGATCAGAGCAGCAGTGAGGGATGAGGCAGAAGACAAGGGATCGTTTGTTTCGGCAATGGATGATTTTCTTGGCACCATTTTAGCAACTAGAAGAAAAAATGAGCACAAATAAGTTATGTAGCTCCTAAACCCTAAAGTGAAGGTTTCTTAGAGCATGTTACTTGACAAAAATAAATGGGTATGAAAATTATTTCACTTACTCACACTTGTAATCTGCGGATAAAAATTACTCTCAAGGGATAACGGGCTGATCTACACCAAGAGCTCACAGTGACCGGAAGATTTGGCACCTTGATGTCAGCTCTTCGCCACCTGGGGCTATAGTATGTTCCAAGGGTTGGGCTGTTTGCCCATTAAAGCGGTACATGAGCTGATTTCAGAACATCGATCCATAGAGCATTAGAAGTGTGAATTTCCTCTTGTATGCCGTAATCAAATGCCTAACAGGAATAAGATAACGTACCTTGTCGAAATAAAAAATAAAGCAAGAATTTGCCATATACTGATGAAACTTGGCACTCAAATTTAGTTGTCCATAACAGATATACGAGAACAAAACGGTTCATATATTACATATAACAAATTACACAGACGACGCATTTCGACGTTGGAAACGAATGGATTTCAAAACCCAGAAAGCAAATAACTTAAGTATGGCAACAAATCAATCAACAGTTTACACATTCTCACATATATGCATCTTCACGCGCGAAATTCCAAATAATCTATTAACATCTAGCTCCGACTCCTTTTTATTAATACTTCCAACTTGTAGAGAAGAAGATGGGTTTCGATTTTCCTTTTGAATTTCTAAGCTGATGGGAGAAGAAGATGTGCTTTGATAGGGCAGGCAACCTAACACGATATAGATCTCAAGAAGATGCAGTAACAGCAGGCTGGATTGGGTTAAATGCAACCTGCTCGGCACAAGTTAACACTTCATGAGGCCCTGCCTCGTCTCGACCGACACCCATAAGGTCCAGGTAGTACTGGTAATGTGAAACGATGCTGTTCATGGCATCAATGTCACCCTTGCCACAAACTGATTCCCCATAAAGAATATTCATTGTAGTGCCAAATCCAGGAAACCGCTTACTCAAGGTATCGTTCTTGGTAGGCTTCCAGTCTCCAACAAATGCTTGGTGGGCCGAGGGTTGTGACTTCTTGATAGGGGTCATCCACCTCCATACTGCAGCTTGGAAAGCAAGAGTAGCGTTCTGCTCAATGTATTCTGGATGGTTCAACAGATCCACCTTCAAAGCGTCTCCAGCTGCACCGTAATTGTAGTTCCTAGATGGTAGAACCAATGTTAAATTAGTAACATTGTCTATTCAAAGAACTCAAACTACAACCTCACGTATCTTCTAGAACTTCAGATGTCACGAGATTTGAGGAAAAAACATAAATGTGACAATAGCTAGACTATGAAACAAACTGACAGACAACAACAAAGGCTTATCCCACTAAGCGGCGTCTGCTGTATGAAGACAAATATGTCTGACGACTCTGACCGCAAAACAACTCCATCTAGTTTCCGCCACAAGTAAATTACTAGCTTGCAGTATGTATCATCTAATTTGTGAACTTGCTAAGATGGCATTATACGAGTAGACCAACGAATTAATCTCATCTAACGATAGCTCGCTCTACTTTACAACACAACTGACATCATCTTTGGTTAATTTATTTGGTAAACGAAAGCTCGGACAAATGAATATTATGAAAGGAAATCGACATAAACCAATGATAAAATAGATGGAATACAAACCAGTAGATAGGCAAAGCACCACGGCCATAGTATTCAGCTCCAGGGCTGCAGGGATATATGTACTTGTAATAGTCATCACAGTATGACTGCATGGGACTCATTTCCCTGTTGTAGCAAAGCCCCCAAGCGTATGGTCCTCCGGTGGCCACACCGTAACCGCCTGGAACAATCATGCCCATCGCCGTCAACAACCACAAGAACACCGGTATACATATATCCTTTTCGTCACTGTATTGATGGTCAAAATCTATTTTTGGTCACTGCGTTTTTAATTTAGCCAATTCGGTCGCTGTGTTTTACAAAATTTATGAAATCCAAGTTTTTTCCCTCAAAATCGACATTGTTCATAAACCCAATTCACTAAAACTCAACAAATCTCAATCAAACATTACTAATTATAAAAACAAGAGCTACCCAAAATAGCAATTCTATGCACAAACAAGAGTGGTGACTTCCAAGAGGTTTTGCTGCCGACATGTCCAAGAAAGGCGGCGATCTCCTTCATCTGCATAAGCTTCCCACCCGTGGTCCCAAACCCAAGAGGCTCGAAAAGCGCGGCGGCGGTGATAAACGCCTGGTAATCCCAAAACCCAACGGCATGCGCCACCGGCGTGTTTCTCTTGGAGAACAGATTCTCAAACTGGTAAGTCTGGAAGTAATCGGAGATGGTGAGATTGCAAAAGTACTTTGACCACCCTTTACACTTCCACCCTTTGTCGCACAGCTTCTTCCCCCTCACAATCTTCACTTTCGCGACGGTGGACGAGTAATCGCCGTCGCTGCTGGCACACAGGACAACACTCAGCGCCACCACCGCCACCAATGCAGCAGCGGAGATCTTCATGGTTGGATGCGGAAGAACAATTACATGATATTCAACTTAGGATTTAACATCTCTTTGAAGATGCTCTTATAGATTTTAAACTTAAAAGCACTATTTTCTTAAGCATTTGAAGTACAGCAAAAAATAATCACAAGGCGATATGTGAATTTTTGGTAAAAATAATAAAGTTATCCCTAAGACATACGGGTTGTCCTCTGCATGAGCAGTGGTCAATCATTCTTTACTAAAGCAAAGAGTGTCCAAAAAAGATAATCAGTTCCAAATTATCTCATCCATCCTCATCTTAGGTAATTACTCCATAACCTATAAATTATTCTATATAAATGGAGATTAATTGGCTAATTAATGGATTAAATTCTAATTAATCCATTAATCACCAATTAAATCACCCATTTTCACACAAAAAACCTCTAAGGGCTGGCCACATCCATCCCTATATATTTGACCCTATTTTTTCTAAAAAAGGAGGTCTACAGTCTTTCAAAACTCCCAAAAACTCTCCAAACACTTTTCTCTCTAAATTATAACTTTTGTATCAGAGGTTCTTTCGCCAAAGCCCCCCTTTCATCGTGGGCACGTGAGGCTCTTGGCCTTGACCAACGGTGTTGATTGTTTTATAGGTGCAATTTTGTCAAAAAAGGAGAAGGTGAAAATTTGCATCCACAAATTGGTGTTTTCATTGATAGCTGAGATTCACACTCGTAGAAGACTCTTGGCCTTGACCAAAGGTGTTGATTGTTTCGTACGTTCTTATTATTAGAATTTTTTATTTGCAAATATTCTTTGATAAAATGTAAAAGAGAAATACAATGGCTAGAAATTTAGAAAATTCCACAATTGAAAATTCCAATATTCAAGAAATGGGACTGCGGCGATCCACGAGACTAATGTGATCTTAGGGGAGCGGCACCGCCACCACAAGGCTCAACCATGGCAACCACCGCGGTGGCCACCGCGGCAATCATCCACGACGAGGTTTATGGCTCCACCACCACGGCCCGAGCCATGTCACTCCATGCTCAACGCGAGCCCAATGCGTTGCCAAGCCAAGCCTAAGCCTCGCATTCGCGAGCATCACGCGCTGAGCAGCCTACTCTAGCGGCTCAACTTGCTCTCGTGGCCCAGCCTACCCTCGCGGCCCAACCTGCTCTAGCAGCCCAGCCTGCTCCCACTGCCTAACTGATCGGATCATATTTATATATATTTTTACTTCGAATTCACTCGTCTTTTCTTAAGTTAGTTCCTTATATTTTGAGCTATTTACGTTATTTTTGTGTTTATTGGATTTGTTTATGCAAAGAAAATAAAAATGGCACAAATGAGTTTTAAATAATAAATTCATCGAAAATTGCTTTAGTCGTTCTCATTTTGTCATGGGTTATTGGTAGAATTATGTCACGGATTATAGGTCATGGAAGTTAGGCTAAATTTATTAGGTTTGCATTAGAAATTATATGGCATTAGAAATTATATGATATATCTAAAATTGAAGTGTTTTGCAGTTGGTGAGTAAAGAAAAGAAACATAAAGAAGCTGCCTTTGCAGCTGGAACAAATGGAAAAAAAAGGGATCCAAGAGACAGCAAAACGTGAAAGAATAAAATAAGGGAAGCTGCCTTTGGGCAGTGGAAAAATAAGAAGAAAAAGGAGAATCCAAGGCATGAGACACGGGGGAATAATAGTGGAACAAAAAGAATGGCAGAAAATAAGAGGAAGTGGACAGAGTTAGGTGAGGACTGTGCGAGAATAAAAGAAGTCAGACGAACGAGTGAAAATGGGGGTCTGGGAGCGGGAGAAAGGGGCTGCCCTTTGGGCAGCTCGCAGAGACGCAGGAAGGAGAGAAGGTCAGCAGGAACGCAAGGCAATGTGACACGGGGGGAAGCTGCCATTGGCAGCGTGAACTGAAGAGAAGGACTGACAGCAGCAGGCAGGTGGAAGGCTGACGGGGCAAGTGAGGCGCGGGAGGTCAGGAAGAAGGAGAGGATGTGCAGGAGAGAGGAGAGACACGGGCAGCGGTAGTGAGAGAAGTGAGGCAGTGCAGTCCAGGTGATAAACAGAAAGCAAGTCAGCGAGGGAGAGGGCAAGCATGGGCACGAATGCAGCAGATCCTCTTTCGGTTTAATCTTTCCAAACTTCTATTTTATTTCTGTTTCAATAATGTGTAATTAAACTTATTTTGACTAGAGGTTAATTCAAAGCCATGAATATATTTGTAATATGAATTGATTACCTTCAGTTGTGATTTCTGAGTTGTGATTTAATTTGCTTAACTGCTTGATAGATAACTTATTTTTGTATGTCGATTAAGGATGCATACTTAATTTACATGCATGAATTTGATGCTAGAATATAAGTGAATTTCACCTAATCGTTATGAACTTATATTCACAAGTAGTAAGGTTGCTAGTCACAATCACGTTAAGTAAATTCTTGGCATAAGTTTCATGCAAATCATAGTAACGAGTGCCTCGTCAATGCTTATGTTTTTCATAGAACTTAATGATTCTTGCTTGTATCTCTATTATGCAATTCATGTAGGGAACTTGTAGGGAATGTTTTGGGTTGTCGTATGCAATCATCCAACCCAATAACTTGTGGAAAAACTGAGGGTTAAAAAAGTGCTGTTCACAGTTAATCTGGAGTATTGAAATTCACAATTTATTGAAAGAACAACTGAAAATCAATTTAGGTTGCTTATGTGTCATGTGTGGAGAAGAACCCTCTAGCTAGTCCGTCATTTATCATTTTACCTTAATTTTATGTTTTTGTCAATTCTGTAATTTAATTAAGTTTAATTTACTTTTCATCAAAACCAAACACCCATCCATTATTAAATTATATTATTTAGTTAGTTTTCTTTATTGTTAGTCTTTTAATTTAATTTCCGTCCATTTCAGTTCCTAGTGTCTAATTTGATTATTTTCATTATTTTGAGTCATTTTAAGTGTGTTTCGAGTTATTAGAGTTTTTAGCCTAGTTTTGTGTCCTTGAGTCTTATTTAATATTTTTAATAGATTAGCAATCCCTCCTAATCCCCGGCCTAGAACGATACCCTACTTACATCCATACTACAATTGTAAAAAAGAGGGTTTAATTTGTGTGTCAAGTAATTTTGCGCATCACTAACCTGCTCCCGCAGCCCTGCCTGCTCCAATGATTTCCCAAGCAGCCCAAGTCGGCTCGAGAATATCTCGACCATCCGGAGCAACCATCGAGCCTAGGGTATTTTTACCATATTTCTCCACAGATTTGACATTTCCCAACTCAAATCTCATGCCTGGAGTCTACCATACTTCTACTGCTCAAGGAGGCATATTCCTTCCAAGATCTTCTAATCTAAATGGCGAACAACACTTGTCTTGACAAGTCATAGAGTTGATGAGTGCCCTTGCACAACAGACGACCTTCGTGAATCAACTTTTGCAACGCACCGAGATCTAACGTGCCCCGGACGAGTTATCCTGAGGTAGGATAAGGGCAGACGATCCTTTCCAGCAGCATTCCAACAAGCAGCCACTCAACCAGCCATGAGCCGAACATTCAGGCAGTGTACATTCCCGATTAGGCCTCCGAGATAGCGTATACTCATGTCTTAGAGCGCGGAGGAGCGTGCACTCTCGACTAGGCCCGAGGATAAGTATACACTCACGGTTGGGGCCACACTCTGATAATCAACATGAGTAACCTTCCAGGCAAAGCATTCATTTCCGGCTAGGCCCGCAATGAGTATCATCCACATCACATCGGAGCAGGAAGCATAGCGGACAGAAAGAAGCAGTCACTCAATCCGGCTCAAGTTCAACCAGCAGCCTGTGAGTTACACACTCGCCTACTAGGAACATACCACACCTACCGACTAGCCGAACATATAGAAGAGTAGCTTAGACCAGCATATCACGATTGAGGGCAATCGAGAGCTTTGCCACCCTAACAAAGGAAAATTCAAGAAGAAGTAAAACATCTCCTGACCAAGCGATTGTGTAATTTCTCGTGCCAACTAAGCCTCAAAAGGGCACAAGATGAAGCACCTAATGATGGCGCAATAATTTAGGGAGCAACTCACTGCGTTTACACCCTTACGTGGGTTCCACAAGCAGTTCGAAGTCTCAAGCAGTTCACCAAACAAAACCTTGCAACCTGATGATTATTTCAGTTGTCCAATAGTCCAGCTTTCCTCAGCTACACTCATGACAACGACTTCCATGCTCTCCAGTGCAAGAGGATAAACTAATTGCTCTCTAGTGCGAGAGGGTAAACCAATTCCCTAACACCCAAAAGGGTTTGCTCTCCAGTGCGAGAGGATAAACTATTTGCTCTCCAATACGAGAGGGTAAACTAATTGCTCTTAAGTGCGAGAGGGTAAACCAATTCCCCGACACCCCTATGGGTTTGCTCTCCAGTGCAAGAGGATAAACTAATTGCTCTCCAGTGCGAGATGGTAAACTAATTTCTCTCCAGTGCGAGATGGTAAATTAAATCCCTGACACCCATCTGGGTAAGCTTTCTAGTGCGAAAAGGCCACATAGTTTAAAAGATCAAATGCTTGAAGATCAACTAAGCAACAAATGGTTAAGGGGCAGCAACCACTTTTACACTTAACAGTTCACTCATCTGACATTTCATCTTGAGCAACTCTGATCTTGGCAGCTTCATCCTTGACTGCTCCATCTATGGCAGTTGAAAATCAAACTCAAGTAATTTCCTCATTTTCAGCAGACAGCCTAAATAATTGCCTATTCCACGCCACTTCCTCGGCCCATGCTGAACCAATCCTTGGCTTCAATCAAGCCGAGCTACTCAAGCAATGTTCCTTTCCACATCACCTTCTTGGCCCATGCCAAGCCGACTCCTGGCCCTTGTCAGCCGACGTGCCGTACCACCCCGACGACTACCCCGTGGCAGCACCACCCAAGAAAAAGACAAGAAGAAATTAAGTTTTTATTACATTGGTACGGCACGGAGAAGACGAAGAAAGTAATGAAAGACGGTCCTTTGCACAAGTAAAATGTAGGAGATTGCTAGAGGAGGGGGAACAAATATCCTCTAA